AAATGGGGAAAATATATCTGTATCTGCTTATTTTTGCAAAAAAGAAATAGGAAAGATAAAATAGTTCACCTACAGAGGGTTGGTGAGAATGAGATCGAAGGGACAGGAAGGGGAATGGAACTATTAGAAATATGCTTTTTTATATCGCTTTGACTATTGAACTATAATATTTTACATATTCAAAAAATAAATCAATAAGGATGTAGAAACAACTAAAATTGGGTGTCAACAGAAATAAAGCTAAGTGTATATCAAATATATAACATAAGCATACAGAGGAAAAAAATTAATTCAAGTAACTGTTGAACACAGTTCCCTGTACACTTTCAGTGGGATATATGCTAAGGAAAAAAAGAACTTCAAAGAAATCTTGGGCCTTACTTAATCCTTTTGTTGGGAGAGGTATCACTGTAGCAATTCTGAAACTCTTTTATGTGTATGTATAGAATTCAGCAAGTGAGTAAATATATTGTTGTTGGAGTAGCATCTTGGGAGAAGGGAGATACAAACATGGAATGGAAGAAGGAGGGAAAGAAACCTGAGATGCTGAATTGGAATTATAAGTATCAGTATAAACCACGATTTTAAAAAAGTTATACCTCCTAGCTCCGCCTGCTGACAGGGCCTAGAAGCAATGACACACTAGTAGCAACAAGCATACCTAGCACCCAGATCTTGGTTTCTAATACCATTCCCATCTGAAAGGAACCAGGGCTCCTTGGAGAAATCGATGCTTCCAAGACTAGGGCAGAGAAAGTACAAGGGGAACCTGGAATATCCTGTGTGTCAGAAAGTACGGAAGTGCTCAAAGAATAAAAGTGACATGACAGACAGAGAAACTTCTTTAAGAGGTTCCTATTGGTCAAATTTGGCACAATTTGTGTATCGAAATGGGTAATGATAGGAGTAAATTATTACCTATTAAATAAAAAAATTCATGAGACTATACTAATAGTTTAAAAAAAAAAACTAAAGTGGAGGGAAGGAAAACTCCTATTTACAGGAGGGTGCCAACTAATAAAACAGAATGAATGATATATATAATATATATAGGAAATCTGCATTTTATAACCACCATAGTAATAACTGATTCAGGCAACAGATGTTAAAACTATTGAGTAAAAAACCAAACGGGGACAGGATATTTACACAGTCTCAAAGTTTCACTCTACAGATTACTTATTAACTACAAAGGGAAAAGTGTATATTTACAATGAAAAAATAGGGTGGGCACTAGCTAGTCCATAAGGATATGCTTATGTTCAGTTTTAGTAGATACTACCAAATAGATTTGCAAATGGTTGTACCAGTTCACACTTCCATTAGCAGTGTAAGAGCAGAGAGTTCCAGTTGCTCCACATTTTTGCTAACACCTGGTATTGTCAATATTTTTAATATTCTGTTGGGTGTGTAGAGGTATCTCGTTTTACTTTTTTTAAAAAGAATTTATTTTATTTTTGTTGTTGTTGTTGAGAATATATACAGCAGAACATACACCAATTCAATAATTTCTACATGTACAATTCAGTGACATTGATTACATTCTTCAAATTGTGCAACAATTCTCACCCTCCTTTTCCTAGTTGTTCCTCCCCCATTTACCAGTTGATTACTGAGACTGGCCATTTGGACATCTCTTATCAAGTTGTTATTGGTTTGGTTTTTTTTTTTTTGGCTCATTTTAAGTTGAGTTGTTTGTCTTTCCTTTTTATTCATTTTTTTAGGCATTCTTTATATTATTCTATAGTTTCCCTTATCTTAATGGTATAGATTTATATACAGATATGTATATAGTTTTTTTTTTAATTGTGCTTTAAGTGAAAGTTCACAGAGCAAATTAGTTTCTCATTCAACAATTTATACACAAATTGTTTTGTAACACTGGTTGCAATTCCTGCAATGTGTCAATACTCTCCTCTTCTCCACCCCAGGCTCCCCGTTTCCATTCGTCCCGTTTTCCTGTCCCTTCCTGCCTTCTTTTCTTTGCTTTTGGGCAGGTGTTACCCATTTGGTCTCATTTACATGATTGAGCTACAAAGCACGTTCACAAGTGTTATTGTTTGTTTTATAAACCCATGTAATCTTCGGCTGAAGGGTGAACTTCAGGAGTGACTTCAGTTTTGAGTTAAAAGGGTGTCTGGGGGCCATAGTCTCGGAATTCCTCCAGTCTCTGTCAGACCAGTAAGTCTGGTCTTTTATTGTGAATTTGAATTTTGTTCTACATTTTTCTGCTTTTCTGTCCAGGACTCTCTATTGTGATCCCTGTCAGAGCGGTCGGTAGCAGTAGCTGGGAAGCATCTAATTGTTCTGGGCTCAGGTTGGTGGAGGCTGTGATACTTGTGGTCCGTTAGTCCTTTGGACTAACATTTCCGATGTGTCTTTGGTTTTCTTCATTCTCCTTTGCTCCAGATGGGATGGGACCAGTAGATATATCTTAGATGGCCGCTCTCAACCTTCTAAGACCCCAGAACTTAATGATAAATTTTGGCGTAAAGAAGTTCTTAGTTTAATGAAGTTCAATTCACCAATCTTTCATTTATAATTAGTGCTTTTTATGTCCTGTTTAAGGGTGTAAAGATAATATACTATGTTGTTTTCTAGAAAAATTTCTGGTTTTACCTTTCACAATTGGGTCTATAATCCATCTATCATTAATTTTTGTGTGTGGTATGAGGGTAGTGGTCAAGCTTCACTTTCTCACCATATAAGTATCCAGTTGACACAGCACCAATTATTGAAAAGGCCATCTTTCCCCACTGCACTATTGCCAAACACAGTTATCTAAATCAGACGACCACGTGTGTAGGATTTGTTTCTGGACTTTCAATTTGTTCTAGTGGTCTGTTTATATATTCCTGTCTTAGTTATGAAAAGTCTTTATATCTAGTATGACAAGTTCTCTAACTTTGTTCTTCTCTTCAAGATTGTGTTAGTACTCTTTTGTTTTCCTTTTTTTTATTGAGATATAATTCACATACCATAAAAATCACCCTTTTAAAGGATACAATTCAGTGTGCAACCATCACCACTATTTAATACTAAAATATTTCCACAGTCTTAGATATTCTTAACTTATTTCCATATTAATTTGAAATCAGGTTTATTAAGGTATCATTTATGTACAGTGAAATTCATCCTCTTTAAATTCCAGTTTGACAAGTTTCGATAAATATGTACAGTTGTACATATTTATCAACCAAGAAACAGAAGAGTTCCATCGTCCAAAAAGTTCACTTATGCCTCTTTGTCGTCAATCTCTCTTCCCAGTCTCCAGCCCCTGGCAACCACTAATTTGAATTCTATCACTTTAGTTTTGCCTTTTGCAGAATGTCATATAAATGGCATATAAACAGTTACAATATGGAGCATTTTATCTCTTCTTGCTTGCACTTAACATAATGTTTTTGAGATGCATCCATGCTGCTGCATATATCAGTAGATCATTCTTTTTTATTGATAAGTAGTATTCCATTATGTGGATATACTATATTTATTTATCAGGTGATGGATATTCTGGAAGTTTCCAGTTTTAGGCTAATATGAATAAAGCTACTATAAACATTTGTGTATAAATATTTGTGTGGACATATGTATTAATTTCTCTTGAGTAAATACCTAAATTTACCATATACCTAAATTTACAATATACTATGGACTGCCAAAAGAACAAACAAATCTGTCTTGGAAGAAGTACAGCCAGAACACCCCTTAGAAGCAAGTATAGAGAGACTTCGTCTCACATACTTTGGCATGTTATCAGGAGGGATCAGTCCCTGGTGAAGGACATCATGCTTGGTGGAGTAGAGAGTCATTGAAAAAGAGGAAGACCCTCAATGAAATGGACTGACATAGTGGCGCAGGACCGGGTAGTGTTTTGTTCTGTTGTACATAGGGTCGCTGTGAGTCGGAACCGACTCAACGGCACCTAACAACAACAACAAACACCTAAAAGTAAGATTGTCGGGTCATATGGTAAGCATGTGTCTAACTTTATAAAACTGCTATACCATTTTACACAGCCCCTCCACTCCGATCCAGGACCGACTCTAGAATCACACACTGCATTTAGTTATTTTTTTTAGCCTTCTAGGTATACAGGAGAAATGAGGGCATATGTCCCCTCAAAGAGTTGTACAAGCATGTTCACATCAGCACTACTTATTGTGAGCTAACTCAAAAACAACCCAAATGTTCACCAACAGCAGACAGATAAAGAAATTTTGATATATCTGTAACGATGGAATATCATACAGCAAAAAAAAGGAGCAAAGTATATATAAAAATATGGATGATTCTCACAAACAACAGTGAATGAAAGAAACCAAACACAAAAAAGTACATACTGATGATTCCATTTATGTAAAGTTCAATAACAGGCAAAGCTAGAATGCAGTGATAGAAGTCCAAAAAGTGGTTTCCTTTGGAGGTAGTGATTGGGAGGGACACGTTTTAAATCTGAGATACTGATAATGTTCTAAATCTTTATCTAAGTGATGTTTATGTAGATGTGTTCACTTTATGAACGTTTATCAAGCTGTACATTTATGATGAGTTATATATATTCCACGTTTTACTCTAATAAAAAAAATTAACAGTAAACCTGATCTTGATTCCAAAATTGACGAGAAAGAATACTGAAACCCCTTTCTGAAATATTCTAAAATTTTAACTTTAAGAAGTCACTCTTATTTTCCTACTTCCCAAGTTCTTTGGGAAAACTTCCCTGTAACCGCCACATCTTAATAGCAATCCTTGGGATGGAAATTGTACACCAGCAAACACACTTTCAGACTCTGTGTTGGGTGTAAACTAGCATATATTTTATGGAAAGAAGTTTAACAATGCACATGAAGAGAACTAAAAAGAAATGTATACTATTCAATAATTCCCCTCCAGGAATTAATCCTAAATCAACAAATCATTCAAATATTTATGAACAATCATGTAGAATTATACATTAAAATTTTTTAAGAAAAGAATTCTTTGAAGGTAATACTCACAATTGGCGTCCCAAAAGGAATGTAACCTGTGGGAGGGGAGAGAAAAGAGTCAGGTTTTATAATCCCACCCCTACTCCGCCCCACTCAGCCCCACCCCACCCTCACCTGAGATACATGAGGAGCCTTCTGGGCTTGGGCTAGTCAAGGCCCTGACTTGATGGAGGGGCTCTGGTTAGTTTTGCAGGAGGCACCTCCAGCCCCCGGACCTTCCCCCAGCCATCTGCCCTGAGTGGGGTGGAGGCTTCCCTTGTCTCCAGCCAGGGATGGATTACCCAATAAGCAAGGTGCACACAGGCTTACTTGTGCTTACTTACTATAGTATACAATTTCACCTGTTTTTCACCACAACTTTGATGAAACTTTGATGAACCCATGTGAAATTGTGTGCTACAGGTTAGTAAGTAAACACTATTAAGCCCATGAGTACCTTGCTTACTGGTTAATCCGCCTTTACCACCCTCCCTCTCTGTTCCCCTCCAAAACCAGAGGCCTCTGCCTAAAGGCAGGGTGGCCCCTGCCTGGGCCATCACTACTCCACCACTCAGCAATCATGGATGATTTCCTCTGTGAGGCACACGTCCCCTGCCCACACTCACTACACGAGACCGGTCATCTTCCAAGGCCCGAGTGTCCTTCTCCTGGCTTCAGATAGTTTGTCTAGCACAGGCCCTTACTTCCCCAGCATAATGAGCCGTTTCTGGAGAGGGAATTCCCTCCACACCTAAAACGTGTACTTCTAAGTGTCAGAGCTTTTTAAATCTCATGTACTGTGGTTAGACACCCCTCCACAGAATAGCAGACAGCGGGTGTGAAACACAGTCAGGCCCTGGGCACTGTCTCCTCCGTGCCCCTGGCCCAACACTGCAGCAGGTCTCCCGCCACCACCCCCTTGGCGGTCAGTGAGCAGCCTCCTGTCCCAACATGCTGAGTGTGCATACTTGTGCAAGCACGTGTGCTATCTCTCTCCTACCCACCTCCCTCTGGGGAGAGGCCAAGGTCAAAAATTACAAGAGAAGTCAGGCTCGGGGTAAGAGCTTGAGGTATCCTGCTATGGCCTGTGCAAGGGCTAGAGAGCACCGACAGCCGGCTACAGGATGCTCAGAACCTTTGCTGCCTTGGAGTGCCTGAGGGCAAAGCGAGGGTCACTGGTACTACCTGCCCCAGTATGTGTGCTGGTGTCACGTATCCATCTATTCCCTGGTTGTTCATTCTCCCACCCCCATGTGGTCAAGCTCTCTAGGGGTGGGGGCTCTGCCAGCCCCTACATTGGAGCTGTTCCTCTAAGGCCCACTGAGCAGAAGGCTTCCAGGGCAGGGATCTCATTTCCTCCCTCTTATGCTGGCCTGCCCAGAACAGGAATCCTGCTTCTCTACATGCTCAGTGGTGTAGAGTACAGACATTCTGGAAGGCAGGTTAATAGCAGGATCAGAGAACAGGGGTCAATCTGGGGATTAACTGCCTGTAAGGTGAGCAGGAAGCAGGACTTAGGAGGAAAGCGTGGTCGTGCGTGGATAAGGCAGGAGGAGTGCCTGTAGAAGCCAGGGCTGGCCTGTGGACAGGTGTCACCCCTGAGGCTGCCACTAAGTCAGAGGTGTGTGACCCGTGGGGCCATGAATCCACCCAGCTGCTCAGTCAGAAAGGCTGAAGAGCAGGCAGAGAGGACAAGCAACTTTTTAAAAAGCTTCACAGGTGATTCCAGGGCCTGGCCAGTCTTCAGGGTTGAGTCAAGGGGAACAGTGTGGACATGCATGTATCAGGCTCCGTCTCCTCCTCAGGCCGGTGCACCTGGATGTCCCGCAGCAGTGACCGCAGCAAGTAGCTGAGGCTGGGCAGAACCAAGGGGTCCCAGGGCTTACCTGACATTCTAAAGGGCATGAAGATCTTTTCGTTGGTGTCCGGATGGAGAATAGCCTGGCAAGAGCCGGGGAACAGAGCACAGTGTGACAGCAGGGAGGTGTGGGGGGGGGACAAGCAGAGGTGTTAGGGGAGTTGGGAGGGAGATGGGCCGCCACCAAGGAAGACTCGGGTGACCAGTGGCTGTATCTGCCTTCTGGCCAGTCAGTCCTTCCCCCATTCAGGGCAAAGAAAAGCAAAATGTGAGCCACAAGCCGTACCCCTCCTCCTGACTAATCCTCAAAGCTGACTACCGGGACACCAAAAGCCCATGAGGCTGCTATCTTGCAGGCCCTCTATCCTGGATGCCTGGCACAGAGTAGGCACTTAATAAGGATTCTGTGGAAGCAGCCCAGTCCTTTCCTCGAGCTTTGAGGGCCCAGAGAAAGGTATGCTTCGTCTAAATGCCAGTCTTCAGAAACTCAGGTTCTCTGTGCTAGAGAAGAAGGAAGGGATAAGGAGGCCAGGGACAAATGGAAGGGGAGGGGCTGGGTATGCAATAGCCATGGGACAGGGCAGGACAGGGCCCAGGAGAACACAGAGAAGGGAGGGAAAAAATCCAAAATGGAATTACCTGCTTGATTTTCTGTGCACTCCAGAGCTAAAAGAGAGAGGGAGAGAGGAAAGGAAGGAAGGAAGAAAGGAAGGAAGCAGGGAGGGAGGGAGAGAGGGAAGGATGGAAGGAGGGGGAAGGGAGGAGGGAGGGACAGAGGGAGAGAAAGAGAGAGAGAAAAGTAAAGGAAAAGAAAAACACGTATCAGTTTAAAGTCTCAAAGCCACATTTTCTAACCAATGATCCAACTCCAAAGGCGTAAGAGGGTAATGCTGACCTCCTCACCCCAGGCCCAGCAACCCCCTGTGGGGGTGAGGCATCAAGGGATAATGTAAGGCACAGATCCCACAATACGAGAGTTAGGGGACCTCCTGCAGAGCTCTGAATCAACCCCTAGAATTACTACAGAGGAAGTATCAGCAGGTCACAAATTGAGTTGTTGTAAAAGCCTGAGCTACAGCCTTCTGCTCCGACCCACAGACATGCTGGTGATGGCACAGAGGGAGAAGACCAGACCCGTCTGTCCAATGGAAGCTTCTGAGGTGTGATCAGAAATGACCAGCTGAGGGCCAGTGGGAAGTCAGACAGGCCGGGTGTGGATCCTGGTCCCACCACTCACGAGTGTGGCCTTCACTGAGTCATTTAGACTCTCTGGGCCTCCATTTACCTACCTGTAAAATGGGGAAACACCATATATTTTACCAGGTGGATACAAGGATGAGTGAGATAACATATTCCAAATCTGGGTCAAGGCAGATGATTAATCATCATTTATCATTATCACACCAAGCTAACCCTGTCTGCCCCTCTCTGAAGGGCTCTGTAATGGATTGAATCATGTCCCCCAAAACTATGTGTTGTAAATCCTAACCCCTATACCTGTGAATGAGGTGCAGCAGTTAAAGCACTCGGCTGCTAACCGAAAGGTTGGCGGTTCAAACCTACCAGCTGCTCCACGGGAGAAAGATGTGGCAGTCTGCTTCCATAAAAATTTACAGCCTTGGAAACCTTATAAGGCAGTTCTACTCTCTGTTATAGGGTCGCTATAGTCAGAATCCACTCAGTGGCGGTGGGTTTGGTTTTGTTATACCCGTGGATGCAAACCCATTTGGGAATAGAATTTTCTTTATTATGCTAATAAGGCCATATCAGTGTAGGGTGTGTCTTAAAACCTAATCACTTTTGAGATATAAAAAGAGCAGATCAGGCTCTGAAGCAAGCAAGCACAAATGGGAAAAAGATAGATGCTATGTGGAGATCTCCAATAAGCTGAAAGAGCAAAAATCTTCCCCCACAGTGGACAGAGAGAGAGCCTTCCCCTAGAGCCAGTACCCTGAATTTGGACTTTTAAGCTCCTGAACTGTGAGGCTGCTATGAGTTGGAATTGACTCAACGGCAACAGGTTTGGTTTTGGTTTTTACTGTGAGGAAACAAATTTCTGTTCAGTAAAGCTACCCACTTGTGGTATTTTTGTTACAACAGCATTAGTAAACTAAGACAGGCTCTAAGACCCCCACTCAATCTCCTCCACCATCTAGACTTCCACAGACCCACAGTCAAGCTCCATGACTATGTCCTTTAATAAACCAACAGCAACAATGGTAACAAACCACAGGTAGTCGGACCATAGTCTTGTGGGACAACTCAGTCAATTGGCATAACATAGTTCATAAAGATAATCCTAGTTTCTACATCCTAGTTTGGTGAGTAGCCTCTGGGGTCTCAAATGCTTGCAAGCAGCCATCTAAGACACAACTATCGGTTTCTACTAATCTGGAACAAAAGAGAATAAAGGAAACCAAAGACTCAAAGAAGAAACTAGTCCACAGGACTAATAGCCCACATGAACCAAGGCCTCATCTAGCCTGAGACCAGAACTAGATGGTGCCCAGCTACCACTACTGACCATTCTGACCAGGGGCACAATAGAAGGTCCCGGATAAAAAGGGAGAAGAATGTAGAACAAAACTCAAACTCCTAAAAAAAGCCAGACTTATTGGGCTGATAGAGACTAGAGGAACTCATGAGACTACTGCCCTAAGATACCCTTTGAACTTGGAACTGAAGCCACTCTCAGAGGTTACCTTTTATCCAAATAATAAATCGGCTTATAAAATAAACAATATCACCTGTGAGTACTGTGCTCCCTTAAATAATCAACTATATAAGATCAAACAGTCAATATTTACCCTAAAACAAAGATGAGAAGGTAAGGAGTGGCAGGGAAGCTAGATTAACGGAAACAGAACAAACAGAATGGAAATAATGAGAATGTTGACAAATTGTGAAAAAATGTAACTGTCACGGATTGAATTGTGTTCCCCAAAAATATGTGTCAACTTGGCTAGGCCATGATTCCCAGCATTGTGTGGTTGTCCTCTATTTTGTGATCTGATTATCCTCCATTTGTGATGCGTTTTAAATCTCAGCCTCTATGCCTGTGTTTATGGTTCCATTTGGGATTGAGCTGGCCATTATGTTAATGAGGCAGGATTAGATCATGTTAATGAGGATTAGGGTGGGATGCAATACCCTTATTCAGGTCACAGCCCTGATCCGATGTAAGGGGAGCTTCCTTGTAGTGGGGCCTACAAGAAATAAAAGGAGAGAGAAGAGAGCAGACAGAGACGGACCTCCAACCACCAAGAAAGAAGAGCTGGGAGTGGAGTGTGTCCTTTGGACCTGGGGTCCCTGTGCTGAGAACCTCCTAGATCCAGGAGATAGAGCCATAACACCAGAGATGGCGCAAGACGGCAAGAATCGGTGACACAGAACTGGCAGCAGCGGAACCAGAAGACTGGCAGGAGACGGCACAGTGGGTGTGCTGATCCACAGAGCAAGAGATCTGAGTGCCTGTGGACAGTCAGCTTGCTGGTGGAGTGGGGTGCCTCTGGGCACTCATCAGCAGAGCTAGGCTTGCCAACCCACAAAGCTAGAAAGCTGAGCATCTTAGGGCCAAGGCTTACTGGTGGAGGGGCGTGCCTCTGGTCACTTACTAGTGGAGATGAAGAGCTTTGTAACACTTGCCCGAGCAGGGCAGAGGCTGGCTGGGCCAGGCAGAGGGGCAGAAGGCTGAGAGGGAGAGAGAGAGAGAAAGAGAGGGAGAGGCCTGCCTATGGGTATGGCTGAGAAGCTGTCCTGTCCGAAAAACTGTATCCTGAATCACTTCTCAACCAGAATTGTAACCTGTTATGCCAAGACACATGGAGATCTCCAAGGAAGGCCAGGTCTACAGATGCTTAAAGGACAAAAGGACCTTCTCCCAGAGCCAACAGAGAGAGAAAGCCTTCCCCTAGAACCAGTGCTCTGAATTCAGACTTTTAACCTCCTAAACCACGAGAAAATAAATTTGTTTGTTAAAGCCATCTACTTGTGGTATTTCTGTTATAGCAGCACTAGATAACTAAGACAGAATTTGGTACCAGGAGTAGGGTGCTGCTCTAACAGATACCTAAAATGTGAAAGCGGTTTTGGAATTGGGTAATGGGTAGAGGCTGGAAGAGTTTTAAAGTGCCTAGTTTTAAAGCCTAGATTGCCTTGAAGAGATGGTTGGTGGAATTATGGACATTAAAGATAATTCTGGTTAGGGCTCAGAAGGAAGTGAGGAGAGCTGTAACAGAGACAGCACAGGTGGCGAGAAGCAGTGGCAGAGAAATGGCAGCAGCAGAACCAGGAGACTGGTGGGAGATGGTGCAGGAGCCAACCCATGGAGCAAGAGAGCTGAATGCCTTTCGGCAAGAGGCTTCCTGGCAGAGTCGGGTGCCTCTGGGCACTTATTGTTAGACCTAAAGAGCTTTGTAACACTTGCCTGAGTGGGGCAGAGACCAGGCTGGCCCAAGGAGCCAAGGGGCCAAGAGGCCAAGGAACCAAGAAGCAGAAGCTGAAGAGACAAGGAGCATGGAAAGCAGAACTGCCTCGGTCTCAAAGGGTAGGGCCACAACCTCTAGTGTCTCAAACAGTGAGACCATGGCCTCTGGGGTTTCAAACGGTGCAGCCACGGCCTCCCAGTTCTTAAAGAGTCAGATCTTTCCCAACTCCTTTCCAGAGTATGAGGCTGCCTTTCATGGGTGCCAGAGGCATGGGGCCGGATCCACTGTCCAAAGCTGAGGGAGCGGGGCTGCCATGACCAAAGCAGAAGAATGGGGTCTGCCAGGGCCAGGGAGTGGGGTTGCCATTCAACTGGACTAGGAGAATGGGGCCGCCCAAAAGCCAAAGAAGCAGAGTTGCCACCCCAGTGGGCCTAGAAGGCGGAGGTGAAGCCCAAGGCTGAAGGGCCTCCACCCAGAATCCAGAGAGCATGGTCATCACCCAGAGTATGGAGGGCAGGGCCACTGCCTAGGTTGTCTCAAAACAGAAGATTATTTTCAAACCTTGAGAGCTAATGTAAATTGTTCTGCTGGATTTTTGTCTTGCTTGGTGCCTGTTATTCCTTCTTTTCCTCCAATTTGTAATGGAAATATCTACCTTGTGCCTGTTCCATCATTGTACTTTGGAAGCAGATAACACGTATTCTAGATTTCACAGGTTCACAAATGAAGAGGAATTTGCCCCAGGGTGGGATTTAGACTTGGAGTTGATTTAAGACTTTTGGAATGATATGATGGGGTGAAAGTGTTTTACTGTGACAAGGACATGAATTTTTGGAGGCCAAAGAGTAGAATGTCATGGATTGAATTGTGTCCCCTAAAACTACGTGTCAACTTGGCTAAGCCATGATTTCTAGTTTTGTGTGATTGTTCTCCATTTTGTGATCTGATTATCCTCCATTTTGTAATGTGTTGTAAATCCTAGCCTCTATGCCTGTGGTTATGGTTCCATTTAGGAGTGAGCTGTCCATTATGCTAATGAGGCAGGATTAGGTCATGTTAATGAGGATTAGGGTGGGATGCAACACTCATACTCAGGCTACAGCCCAGATCTGATGCAAGGGGACTTTCCCTAGGGCGTGGCCTGCATCACCTTTTATCTTACAAGAGATAAAAAGAGGGACAAGCAAGCAGAGAGAGAGGGACCTCCTACCACCAAGAAAGAAGAGCTGAGAGTGGAGC